TTTAATATATTTTAAATATTTAAATGTTAATTGTAATAATATTTTAATATTTAATAATAATATTTTATTGTGATTAGACTGCTAAAAATTGAACAAGTATATATTCAACACAATATGACGCAACATTATCATATCATCTCACTGGATTTCATGTTAATTTTTTTGTAGGTCAAATCTGTTGTTGCAAAGATAATCAACAGAACATAAATTATAATAGCTGGGGTATCTCAGTCAGCACAGTGACTGACTACAGGTTCAACAATTGGTATCTGATTCCTGGCATGGGCAAGGTCCCAGTCTCTTATCCAATAGGTACTGGGGGTCCACTCCCCAGGGGTAAAGTGCAGTCAGGACATGACACTGACCACTTAACCCCATCTAGTGCTGAGACCAAGAACACCAGCTATTAACATTAACTTACTTGGTACAAACATGAAGATTTTATAAAACACAGTTTGCTGTGTCTATTACTCGTTAGTGGATTAAAATGGGATTGAAAGAAACTTAAAACTTTTTATTATATTTAATCTGTTGACTATTTATTGTAATATGTATGTAATGAAAACTTACAGCAGATAGAAAAGTTTAAATTATAAAATCTCTGTGATTAAATGGCATTTAAACTACATGCACTACTGTGTCTCACTGCATAATTTATTTTTCCTAACTCTTTTTTATGGAACTAAAAGAAAAACCTTGTGTATTTCATATATTATGTTCATACATATGAATTACAATATCATTTAAAATTTTAATATCTAAACATGACACTTTCAGGTATAAAATTAATCCATGAGGCGTATGTGGTAAGATATCATATTTACTGCACTTTGCCAAAAATTAAAAATTGTTCTTTATCTTATGTTATGCATCATATTATCTGCAATGTTACATTCCAGCCATTGATTGCAACAGATGAGACACAATTTGGAGTAAAACAAACTTCAACATGACACAAAGAATGAGATCTGAATTTATCTGTTGTTCTGATGACATTTGTCTTAAGGTGGCGACTGACTTGTAACATTTACTCGTAATGTAACATTCGCGGCGAGCATGTTACATTACACCACAACTGGTGAGGCGTATCGAATGCTCGTTTTGAACGCTCGGCTCGACTGTGCTCATGTGTGCTCCATTCATTTCATTCAATATGTCGGACATGGAGGTTGTGTTTTCTTGGTTTCATTTAATACGCTACTGTTATTTAAAGAACTCGTGAATGCCCGTTACGACGCCGCTCGACTGACTGACTGACTTGTAATGTAACACTCAAAGGGATTCGCGAAAAAACCGACAACACGATGGAGCACCCGCGAGCGTGAGCGGCTCACATAGAGCGGCTCCGTTCGCTGTCTTCACTTGTGTAATGCTCGATTTGTAACACGTTACATTACAGGCAAATGTTACAAGTCAGTCGCCACCTTTACATGAGCAGTTTTCAATAAAAAAAGTTATATTAAAAGTAATAAATGTTAGTACAGAGTCTAAAAATCTTTATACCAATCTACACAACTGAATGATTAACATAAATAGTACAGAAAGTCCTTATTGTTCCAAAGTGCACGTTCTAAAACAAGGACAGCTTGTTCTTTTGTGAGTTTGCTCTGCCCCCATCTTCAGGTGTAAATATTTATTCTGTTGGGTTCCACGGAAGTGGTTAATCCCAATTCCTGGACCAGGGATTGGGATTTGGTATTTTCAATTGAAGACAGGAGCAGATCCATCTCGTGAAATATACTGGCCTTGTTTGGAATGTCAAACAATGAACCAAGTCCTTAAAAACAGCAATACTGAATGTAACACATCATCATTGGAAAACTTTAGAGTTATATGTTCTTCCTTACCTGGCAAATATTAGGATTATTCTTATGGACAGTTATGGTGCAAAGTGTAGAGTCCCCATCCTTATATAACCCAGGGAAGCCAGGGTTGTTGAAATAAGTGCCATTGAATTTTGTGGACGAGCCACATGACTTATGAACTGCAAACACACAAACAAGCTACAATACAACAATACATCACATACCACATAGCATTTCAACAGAATGAAAGCTCCCTAGGACAGCTTTGCAATACTTGCCATCACACGACCTTCATGCTACAAAAGTACAGCCACAAACTAAGATACAAATTTAAAATTTTCCACTCATTTTTCATAGTGCCAATATTCATTAAATCAAAGGCAGGGTTCTCAATACATGGCCTGACAGTGTGTTTTGTGTGGCCTACATACATTCTTAAGGGGTTCTCAATACATGGCCTGACAGCGTGTTTTGTGTGGCCTACATACATTCTTTTTTAATATTGTGTCACAATGTATGATAAAAAATAGTTACCTGACATCAGAAAAAACACTGTGAGATTTGAAGTTCTCACAACCACAAGTATGAAGATGACTGTCTTCTGGGTTGTTGTACCTTTTAGTCTGGTTGAAGTTTACTCTTGTTTCAGATGTGCTTGCTGCCTCCATCACCAGTGCAATGACCTATCACACTGATGATGGAGGCAGAAAGTATCTCTGAAACATTGCTAAACTTCTACAAGACAAATTGGTGCAACAACCCAGAAGGCAGTCAACACCATTCCAAAGACTTACTTGCAACTGATATTAGCCTTTACATCTAAGAAAGATGAGACAGAAAAAGCACACAGCATGTGTGAGGACACAACAAATTGACAGATATTTATGTCTGAATCCTTGAATCAAAGAGGTTACTTGGGAAACCTAAGCAAATATGTAAAAATATTAAAATATGTCTAAGGTTATGAGAATTTGAACTAGACCTATCGGTTCCAACAGAAAAATGCTTGATTAGGTAAATATCTACAACTCAAGTGAGACCCTCCAATGCTGAAGTAATTTTAGTGATGTAACTAAATGGTTATAAAGACAGCTCTCATAAAGGTGTGCCAGTGGTAAGCCATTACTGTCTCTTGTTAACAAGAAAGGAGTACACTTACTGACACAGCAGACACCCCAGTTTCGGGCACAGCTCCCAGAAGCTATTCCTTTAACTAAGGAACACTCTGCCCTTGAATAGCATGTCCCTTGCTGCTCCAGGATTCCAGTGCACTGAATGTTCTTGAAGAGGGTCACATCAAAAATTGAAGAGACTTGAAACACAAACAAGGTAATTTTCATTGGCAAGCTATACTAACAACAATAATATTTCAGGAAACAGTTTTAAGAATCCTTGGTTATTGTTTTCATTTTATTATACTATCCCATCTGTAACCTGAAGGGACTGAGGAGAACAATAAAAGGTCTCAGTTGGGATAGCCATTCTTGAAACTGATATTTGAAATCTTAAAACCCTTCATACCATGTAGTAGTGTATACAAATATAACAACCGACTACTGTTACTCACAGTTTGTTGGCTTGCATTTACATCACAGATGCATTTCAGCCCCGTGGGGCCATCATCAGTAGTGTGTTGTTTATGTATTTGATTTAAAATACATATTACATACATTAAGACCACGGAGTCAAAAAATAAATTTCATTACATAATGATGACAATCAGAAAAGTAAAACCAGAATACATGGAGAATTATCTGTCCCACTCTTACTTTGTTCACCCCAGATTTGATATTCAATGCCTTAAGACTGAACCCAAAGAACCTGAGCTAAGATACAGTCTACCCCTCTTCTTCATTTATAGGTTAGGGTACCTACCTGTTTCAATTCAGAACATTGATAATTTTAAAACATTTTACTAATTGAGATAATCAATCAACAATGTACATAAAGAATTCATATCACCAAACTTTATTAAAATCCCTTCATTCACAGCTAAGTTACCCCATTATGCAGAGTTATTATCATATCAAAGATAGCCGATTTCCTCCACACCATCTTTGACAAATAAGGTCAATAAATTAACTGTAGCAGTACAACTTACATCTCTCATCCTGTTCCACTACAGTGTCATTTCCTAAATCACTGTGTGTCCAGTGATTGACCTCCTGCCCCCTGACAGCAAAACACAGCACCAGCAACCACAACAGATACAACATCTCACCAGCTAGCCTTGAGACAGAAGAACTGTGAAGCAAGCACATCACTGTCTCATATACTCTAGGACTATTTGTACATCCCATTAATTGTTTTAGTTGAGCTGAAGTTTCTTTAAACTATGATTAGATCATAACTGAATGTTATGTTGCACTCAATGCCATTCTTGCCCTCATTTCTGTTTCTAAAGAAAGTTAAGTAGGACTAAGGATGTTTGCAGATGTGAATATATCAAACAATGCTTGTTATTTCTAGGTGTAGAAATACAAGCCTGTATATGGTGTGATATTTCAAATTCAAATACACTTCTTTACAATGTACAAGTTCAAATAGCAATAATATAATAACCAAACTTGTCCTGGGAAGAGAGAAGTATCTAGTTCAAATCACAACTGGTATCAGTTACACTGAAATGGTCTTCTTTTCATTACAAATAAAAATAGTGAAACCATAATGAGATACAGTTACGTAGTCATGTACACTCGCAGAAGTGATTTATGTACAGATGGATGGTCACAGCTGACACTTAGTACAGTAATGCACCATACCTGCAATCAAAAGTAACAGTTCAAATCCTGAGTGAGGAATCTCTACTTTGACTTTTTTTTCACTGCAGAAAATTTATCCCAGATCCATCCTGATCTCAATTAATCCTTTAGAGCCTATACCACTGATATAGCGTTGTAAAATAAACAAGTACATGTGGTAATTGAATTCACAACCTCATCATGCATATATCTTCATACATAATATTGTTGAAACTAAATGGATAAGAATGTACTCGAAGTAAATGTTTACATTTATGCAAATATATATATAAATACCAGGGCTGTTTCATTTATGAGGGTGGTTCAATATGAACCAGCCTTGGATCAATTACATAATTACTGAGCTCACTCAGTCACAACCCATTCAACATGCTTTGTGTTTAAGAATTACTGAAAGGGGGTGGTCTAGCGGTTAGAACGCTGGCCCTGTAATCCTGGGGTCTCGGGTTCGATTCCCGAAGGTGCCAGAATTTATAACTTGTGTTGGGCAAGGCCGTGGTCTAGGCAACACGGAGATTTCCTCCGGGGGCTTCCCCGGTTTCTCCATTCACACACAGAAGAAGGAAATGGCAAACCACTTCTGGATCATCTGCCAAGAACGTATATGAACAGGTCCCAGTCCGAGAAAAGGATGGAAGGATCCTGTTCATATGGACCTGTCGTCAGACAGAACACTAATAATAATAATAAAAAAAAAAAATGCAGACATCATATAATGTCTTTTACACATGTTATACTTTCTGAAAATTAGACTACCATTTTAAATTTGTAAGCCATTAGGTTCTTTGACCAAGCTTCTGTGTACTCTGTGTTAGAAGGTGTCAACATTCTGTATTTGCTTACCTATTTGGTTCTTCACAAAACAAAAATGTGGGACACCACACGCAGGTCATATTTGTGATACACATAGTTTTGGCCACACTTCATGGAAAACATATGGGCAATTGCCAACATTCTCTTGTAGAAACTGACCAACATTTCAGAGGTGCTAACTGTCTCCACCATCAATGGCTCATCACACCTCTCATATGTCAGTCAATTTCTACAAGACTACATTTTACAACATCCCAAACGAGTTTTCTTCTATTCAATCTTGATAATTTACACTCTCAAAGTCTTTTTCTTTAAATCCAATGTTAATATCTTCCCTCTCTATGGAACTCTATCTCCATATGGATTTCCACATTCCATCAGGATTATAATTTACGTAAATTAAGAAAAGGAAAGGGGAACAAAGTGATATTTTATTATATATGTAAAACAATTTACTGTTTCAATATATCTTTACTTTATATATATATATTATATATGTGTGTATCATGTGCATAAAACACAATTCTATTTCTCATTAGTGTACTCTAGCATACTATTATACAAACAAAACTGACAATACATAAAGACCTATCATTACTTCAATCAATACAACAATCACTCAACAATGCAAATCTTAAAATTTCACAGGACATCACTTATATAAAAAAAAGAAATAACACAAGTCACTTGGAGCTAGATTTGAAGTTGTTTTCAAATGTTACAAATACGAGAAATAAAACAGCATACTTGATCCAAAGTTCAGACTGATGACGTTGATGGCATTAATTGCCAAAATAAAATTAATATCCTGCAGAAATCAACATAATAACTGATAAGATTAATAACACATCTCAACAAATTAGCAATGAAATTGCCAACAAACAACATGGTATGCACATGAGCTGTTTACAGACATGTGAAATGCACTTCTCACCATAAACCTTCCACAACTTAAAAGCCTTAATATATGTTTCATTTTCTGGTTTATTTTAACTTTAATATACAGGAATCCTCTATATTATGAGGCTGCTGGTCACACTTTAACTTAGGATTAATGGCTTAGTCCTATGCTGCTGCAAAACAACCAGCTAAACTGCACATAAACCATGATGGACAGTCAACAAAGGTCAAAAAATCATGTTAAATGCAGAAATCAACTAAAAATTAAATTGGATTACCTGCAACAGGGGTACTAGGACCTGGAGCTACATTCACACTTTCTTGGTAACTCCCAGGCTGTCAGGTTATAAATGACATTTTATTAAAAGATTACTTACTATCACAAATAGGATCACATTAATTTATTTGACAGATCTGCTGAACTATTTATATTAATTATTCATTTAAAATTAAATATTCAGTTCATGTAGTGAACAGTTGTTACTAGGAATATAATACAGTATTTCAAAAATGTATCGAGCCTGTATAAAACATAACAGTGGGTCAAACTTGACCAACATTATTAGTCTCTGATCTACAATGAGCTATACAGATGTGGTATTTTACCACACTCACCTCATCCAATTTAGTGTTTTGTGTTGTCCATCATTCCAGCTGTCCAGTTCTATAAATCTGCTAGCTTATCTACACATCAAAACATTATTCATGGAAAAGTTTTCAAGTTATAAGATATAAGAACAGAAATTGCATTTCACACTTCAGCTTCATCAGCTTTAATCTGTAAACAGCATTAATAATGGAAATTCAATACAGAGTTGATGCATTGCACATGCTAGAATTTCAACAGTTCTTAAATTTAAAAACAAATTTTTGCTTCCCAGAACCACTGCAACCATCCCCAAAATGTATATCTTATATATAAATATAATATATATCTCACTACTGAAGACATCACATTATTGTGAATGTATAACATTCACAAACCTGAGCCTTGAGCTAACGCTCACAAACAGAACAAAATACCATAAACAATCAAAACAATAGATACACTTTAGGAAGGCAAACACAACTGGACTAGGAAGAGATACAAAAAGACTAAGTGTTCAGCTATATGTTAATGGCACACGATTGGTATTTCCACAAAAGTTACTTATAAGGACATAGAGCAGCCATATTGTTTGAATTAGCAACATGAACTCACTTTTTTAACTTCCAAGTGATTAAGCACTAGGTTACACCAGATACCCAACTGTCTCTCTGTTATTATAATTTATGGTGGCATTAATATAATTATTTTTCTCTTTCTACACAAATATTTCAGCTATATATATATATATA